AAAAGAAAACAACAGCATATTTTCCCAATATTTAAAAACAAGTTGAGTGTTGCTCACTTCAAATGCAACGCCACCAGGTGGTCTTCTGGTTCACCATTATTACTTATTCAAAGACTTCAATGTCAGACGGATTTAATATAAACTGAGCAGGAATTAAATACTTCCTATTAAAAGTTGACTTTTTACTTCGGTAGAGACTTATGAACAACAATTCCAAGTTTCTTTTATCAAAGACATTGGACTTTATAAAGCGATCTAAAACAAATAAAGATATCAATCATAATCTGATGGAAATATATAAGGGAACACATATATTTAATCGTGAAATGTGCTTTATTGTCAGTGGATTTTAATCAAGTATATTTCATTGAATGTTTATCCCAAGTAACATTTTTGTAACTGGTGTGTCCTCCGTGCTTTTTGATCAGTTCCTCACACCGTCTTGGAACACCCTGTTTCAACTTCCGTTTCTCAGCCCTAGGAATTTCGCGCCAATCTTCTTGAACTGCTATATTTATCATTTAACTTTTTTATATTTAATGTATGGTTTTTTATCTATCTTTGAATATTCCTATTTTCTCATGAGCATTCTTCGGAATATATAGATATATAATAATAATAAAAAAAAGAAAATCATGTGCAAAACCGATCTACAGAGCTGAATAGAAGAGGCATTACAATTCATCTTTACAATAAGTGACAGGCTACAAAAATGCCTCCTTATACGCTTTGTGATTTTTTTCTACTCTTGCTATAAATAAACATCTTTCTTTGTCAAAAAGAAGCAGGATAACATTGCAAACGAATTTGCTCTTTTTTACTAAAATGATGATCACCTACATATTTGGGTTTGTCTCCCAAGTGATTCATTATGAAACAAGAGGCCCATAGGCTATATGGCTCACCTGAGTAGCTTTGACCATGCTATACTTTACCTCATGTAATGAGGTAAAGTAAAAGAGCAAATGTAATACCTATGGTGACCTCACTCTATCCACAGGTCATAATTTAGACAATTTAAAATATACCTAGGATGCATTAGCAAGTTTCAGTTTTCTGGGTCAGTAGTTCCTGAAAAGATAATTTTTAACTCTTTTCCCCATGTTGCCACTATTTGACGCACTTGTCATTTCCCTAGAGTGTTTACCTGGCTGCCCCCTGAAGCCAGTTTAACTGACTTGAAATGAAGGACCATTACATTTAAAACACGCTAAGTACTTAAAATTCATCAAAGCATCACATATTATATATCAATGTTTTTGGAATGGATTAAACTTTAGTACTGTCATATTATTTTGAAAAATTATAAATCTACAATTAAGAATCCATAGGTGAAACCAGGTAAATTGTTTTTATAACGTCAAATCTTCATATTATCTTAATTATGAGAGAAATTTCGATAAAACAATGTGACAATGCCCAATTTCTTTATGTAAACAAACTGGGAGCCATTGTTTTCAGACAGGTAAATCTCACGTGAATTCACACCAGATGCGACTTGACTAAATTAAGTAACATTACCTAATGTGTAATACACATGATAAGCTGTTATTTTAGTGCTGAATTTATTTAGAAACAGGGGAAATCACAGAGCTATTTCGGGTTGTTGTGTGTATGCGTCCAAAGTCGTCAACAGGGAAATGGGGCATAGCGTCAAATGGTGGCATCTGGGGATAAAGGATGTAATGCATCAGGGGGAAAAGAGTTAAAGAATTTTCCTACATACATGTAGCTCGATGTAAAACATAGATTCCAAACTGTGGCCCCGTCCTACCCCCCCCCCCCCCCCCCCCCCCGGGCCATGATTTGAACAATTTAGAATCTACATCACCCCAGGATGCTTCTACATGTGTTTTTTAATGACTGCACCCTATTTTTGTCTTTTCTAGATTATCTTCCCTTGTGAGGGACTTGGCCCTTCATTTTTACAATTTGAATTTACCTTCACCAGAGGATGTTTTTTTTTACTAAGTTTGGTTAAAATTGGCCCAGTGGTTCTTGGGAGACGAAAATTTACAGATGGACGAACAGACAGACGGACGACGGACCAGATGTAATCAGAAAAGCTCACTTAAGCCCTTTGCTCAGGTGAACTAATAAGAATCGTTTCTCTAAAAACTTCTATATATACATGTATTATTTCTTTGCAAGAGCACAAATTGTAATATATACTTTCTTGGCAATTGCCTTGGCAAATTGTTATTTATACTGTCTTTGCAAAAAACAAAATTGTATCATATACTTTCATTGCAAAATTCAATAATTGCTTTGCAGAAGTTAAAATTGTAATACAAAGTTTCTTTGCAAAAGTCCACATTGTAATATATACTTCTTTTGAACAAGAGCAAATTCTTTTGGAAACTGGAATCACAATTAGAATGTATAAATAACCGACCTTCATCTTTTATTTTGTGAGAGAGTGTATTTTCATTCATATCGAAGACCTGCATATTTTATTTACAGCAGAAACTACAGTCTATATCCCAAGATAATTTCTAAGGCACTCTCTATCATCACAGCAGTAGATTTCTGAGTTGTGTGATAATGTGGACATGAAGTGACAATCTACACTCTGTAATGAAATTTTGCAGTTTCTTTATCTCAATGATCGCAAATTATTTACAACATAACACACTTATGAAATTTACGTTATTAATAAATTAATAAATATAATTTAACAATGATTGTTAAGCAAAGAGTAACTTACTGGAGTACAATGTACAGTGAATTGAAACCCGTTGTCTGTTGCAGCCCTCACCATGCAGGATTCTGATGCTGAGCAGGTCTGGTTCCAAACACAGTTTAGGTTTTCATCGCAAGAGGGACAAGGCTTACCTAATCAGAGAGGGGCACATGCTAAGTTTATTTTTTGATTATATGCATATAATTCCTCTAACTATAAAATTATTGTATTATGAAGCATAAATTCAGTAATTATCAATAAATAAGTACATAGTACATTAGTGGTTCATATCTTAGATCAAAGAACTAGACAGAAATGATGTTTTCATTTGCCCGGAACGATAGATCGGGGGCGCATATTGTTTTTCTTCTGTCTGTCTGTTTGTTTGCCTGTATGTCTGTCAATTTAACCTTCGCCATAACCTTTTAACCATGAAAAATAGGGACTCCAAGATAGAGAGAGAGAGAGAGAGAGAGAGAGAGAACTCGAACAAGATAAAGAAGATAAGCTATGGTAGTACTCTTACAATATACATTTGTAGATTATGGACATTTAGGTCTGGTTCTCTATCATATGCAGCAAACAATTAACAACTTTGTTACTTTGTTAAGGCATTGTCCATCCGCCTGTTTAAGAATAGGGTACATGGCTGCTTCTGTTAGTGTATGTAATTTCAGATAACTCTGTTCATTAATCTGCAGGTGTATTGGTTAACAAAATCAGTTGACATTTGGAGTTGCAATATCAATTCTAATGTGTTATTTCGAACAAGTTGTGCATATCTTGTTTGGTTACAGATAGGTGCCTTTTCTTTTGTCTATTTATCTACTGTACATGTACAGACAATAGATTCTGTTAAGTTACTGAAGTATTTTGAAGACATCAGATTCTGTCATATGTTGATGCACAGTTGTCGCAAATTTAATTTGTTGTAGACATTTTTTTCTGCATTTAATATGAACTATTTCAGCAATTTTTGACACAGTTTTTGTAGTTGAATATTTAAAGTTAGGCTTGGTGTTCGGTTTAATACGCAAGTTTCGAGATTATCTCCCTTGGTGCGCTCTTTCGTTCAGAGGGGAGTTTGGTTGCCGCGTAAACAAACAGGTGGGACAGATATTTATTATTGGATATATCGCATTATCGATATACTTGTTTATCGTAACTATATAATTGTAAAAATGCACTGTTCAACTCGAGAATAACCGAATTAAAGAAAAGGTGTCATATTTTTAAGCAGAAAAATCGGAACAAAAAAGAAAATTCAGTGGATGTTCACGAGACTTTTCATACGAGAGAAGAGATTTATGAACCTCCAATAAATACGATAAACATGAATCTGATCATTACATGTCAGCAATCTAAATGGCTCATTGATTTTTTTACCTTATTATAAGTTAAAAAAATCCACTAACTTTTTAGAGAATGTTTGTACAATCAAGAAAATCTTTTACTTTTATTAAGACCATGACATTTATTTCGTTTTCAAGTACCCTATTATTGAAAGTAGATTTTTAAATATACACAGTTGAGCTTGATAAAATTATAAAATGTATCACTGCTAACATTTTTATCTTTCTATAACATTAAATAATTTTTTTAAGCCATAAACATCGTACATTTATTTATGCACGTCTGTATACATAAACAAACTGTCCCACCTCTATGCTGAAATGCATACTTTTTGCGCCTCTATTGCAGGAGAGTTACAATCTCGAAAATCGCGTATTAAGCTCGAAGCTAAGTTTTTTGAAAAGTAGCATTTAGGCGTCACAATAGTAGCGATGGCTATATTTGCACTTAGCTAGGTGGCGCTGTGTCTTAGCCGCACCAGTATCAACAAAGGAACAGTTGGATCATTTCATGAGTGACCATATTACATTTGTAGAAACTTTCAGCTTTTGATGAATCATTGATAATTTTGTCATCAACTGTCTGTTTATCAGTTGAACATCTGATCCCTCAGCTGTTAACAGTTCATTAATTAATGCAGCCATGACCTATTCTTCCAACGAGCAAGTTAAATCATACGGTATGAATTTGTGTATTTGTTAAAGTTGTTTGCCTGTATTAATTTTTAAAAGTAAAATTTGTTGTTTGGCTTCTCTGATAATTACCTATGAATTTCACTAATGCAAGGGCAGAGCGGATTTTAGAACATTCAGATAATTGACCTATTCCAACGAACAAAATTTTATGATTTAGATACTCGATTGGCTTAATTCTAAAAGTATCAAAATTACATAAAAATAGAAAACCTTCGTCGTGTGATTGCTTATTAAACATACGGACCATTTATGAATCTGCCTAAAGTTGTTTACATTGAAGACGTAATTGTGGAATAAATATTTATTGGTGTTTCTGTTGACGCGATGATTGTTGTTTGTTTACTTGTGGTTGAAGTTGCGGCTGGTGTTGTTGTTGTTGTCGATGGTAATGTTGTTGTAGTGGTGGTAGTCGTTGTTGAAGGTGATGGGGTCGTAGTTGTTGTCGCTTGTGCAGTAGTTGTTGTGGATGTTGCTGTTGAAGGTTGTGTTGTAGCCTTTGTTGTCCTTGTAGTCGAAGAAACTAGTAAGTAGAATTAACACGTTAATTATTATCATAAGAACTAAGATTATTTTTTTTCAATTCTCTGAAACATAATAAACTATATCAATTTCATGCATGTTATGTTTCAGTTTTTAATCTTCAAAACAAAAAAATATTTTTCCATGTTTACAAATCATGCAGGGTCTTTCTGATGATCATCAAAAATTTGAACGATAGTTGTCCAGATTCAAGACAGATTTAGAACTCCAAACCTTTGCAATTGTTATGTAAAGAAGGCTAGTGTCATGTTTTTATTTACACAGGTTAATATACTAATATATGTTCGTTCAAAGTAGATAATTTCAAATGAAAATTAATTATTTTTAAATACGATTCGAAAGTTACGATTGATTTGCTGAACTTCACTTTGTTATAAATATGATATTTTCTATATGTAAACAAAAACAAGACTCGAGCCTTGTTTACATAATGGAGAACTTTGAGTATCTTATTTGTTAATCAACAAATGCTGTTCAAAATTTTGCAAATCAATAGATGATGCGTAAATAGAAATTGAAAACATTAAAATATCTTTAAAAAATTAATTGAAAGTGTGTCCATCCCCCTTTAAGAATTTTGATATACTGTAAATCACTTTTTATTCGCGATAACTTTATTTTTGCGTAATTACACGAGACCGTGTGCTCGCGAAAAATATGTTCTCGCGTATAATAGTATTCCTTAAGATTATATAAAGCAATAACCACAATTCGTGAAAATTTTGTCTCGCTTATCAATGACTATCTCGCGAAAATAAGGTGTCGCGAAAAATTTAGTGATCTACAGTAATATTAATGTTCTTTAGTTGACTGTATAAATAATTATTCATGCATGCAAATTATTCTGTTAATTCAATATTTAACAATAGTATTTTTTATAAGTATGAAGAAAAATTTTAATCTATAATAACTACCAATTCCGCCTTAAAATGAAATAGTTAACGCAGTTCTACTAATATTAAAAGAAACCTCTATATAAATAAATTTGCCAAAAGTTAAACAAAATTTTAATAAGTACCATACCAGCGTGGCAAGAACATGGATCTCCTTGTCGGAATACAGCATCTGTATGAAAAATAAAACAAAAGCAGTGAAGGATTATGCTTAAATCAAAATCACGTCTTCCTATGTCTGCATTATAAAACAATAAATGGCAAGAAAAAATGCTCTCTGATTTAGCACAAAAAGATTCTGAATTCTTAAATAATTTCGAGATCTTCTAGACTTAATCATTGAGCCACTTTTTGTGTCACCTACAATGCAAGAGAAGCAATTAGAGATACCTGTACCGGACGTCTGTCAGTCCGTCCGTTTGTAACACGTTATATCTCGAGAACTGTAAAAGGTATAGATTTAATATTTTGAAAATATATAGCTTGGCACTATGGCATATGTATTTTAACATGACCAGTGTTAAAGTCCTTGAACTTGACCTTTGACCTAATTTTCAAAATATTTCATATTGCCGATATTTGACTTCTTTTTGACATTCAGGCGGTAAGTCTATTTTATTTGGAATGTGCACTGTTTGTCATAAAACATTATAAAAGACACAAGCCTTTCATTCTACTTGACCTTTGACCTATTTAGCAAAATACACTGCAGATGGTCAAATATATCTTATGCCTTTCCTATTTAGAGAGGCAAAAATTTGATAATTAACGTGCATTTAATGTTTTAACTTATGCATGTTAAAGAGCTAATGACAATTGATTTGACACTGTATGAAATACAGTATCACAAAAACTGAAATGACTATATATGATAAGAGCAAATTTCGGCACTCTAAAAATCAATTATTTAGGATGATATTTAGATATGTTTAATTGGCATTTATTTTGTAGAAAAGATTGTATATTAGAAAGATTTCCAATACATTTTTCACATTTATATGCAATCACTGGCTGTTAATGATACGAGAAATAATGGTAATTTTGCAATCTAACAAAAAAGCAAAAAAATAAGCCTTTTTCTTGATGTTCTTTTTTTCTTACAGGAAACATAGAGCGCAATGTAAAACTTACATGATTTTTCTGTCACTGAATAGAATTGGATAGTTACAACTTTGGTAAAGATATAAAGATTGTTCTAAGCTGTGCTCTATATTCTCTGGAAAGAAAACCGCTTGAAAATACTGTAGAAGTACTTTTTTCCGCTTGGTATTAATTAACGCTATGTACGCGGTCAGAAATTTTCCGCGGAAATTTGTCCAAGCGAACTTAATATAAATGTAATGCATATAGAGACAGTCTGAGAAATCCGCGTAATTTTTAACCCGCGGATTAAATAGAAATTGCGATTCCGCGGAATTATGACCCCGTGGAAAAAAGTACGTCTACAGTAAGCAGTTTTATACAAAATATGATAAAATGGCGGGAAAACGTAACTTTATGATGTCATATCTCTAAAATATTGGCATTTTGATCAAATTGAAAATGAACAATAAAGGTCGCATGTATAGCTGTATAAATTAAAGCTATATATAAAGTAAAATTAAAATATTCATTTAAAGGGGCCATTTGAGTCACTTATCATTGCTCAAATTGGTGTACTATGAAAATACATCGGGAACGTTATTCCAAACTGGATGATGTAGACTGACAATTGCGGTTAAGGTAGGTCACTCGTCAGTATTTTGGAAAAGTTCACGCAGAACCTCTTACTTCAAAACTATATATCAAAATTCAATTTTTATAACATATTTAGTTCAACAATGTTAATGTTTTAACATTCAACAACAGCCAAAAAAAAATGCCCAAAAAGCTACAAAGAAGGAAGATTTGTGAGGGACTATTTTTTGTGGTGGAAGGATATCTAGCAGATAAGTCTGCATATCAGCACATTTATTTAATTTAATATCTTGGACTTTTAGCCCCACATACTTTTACTCGGTGAATATTTTCCATAATGATATTGCTAAGAATATTTAATATACACCAGTTAAATAAGACATTATAACAATTTTAAATTCTGTTCCGATGAAAAAGCGTCCGGATACTGAAGCATCCGGATATCTGGCGTCCGGATATCTGAAGGTCCACTGTAGTTCTTAATTTATATTTTCAGAACAAGTTTTACACCTTCCTTCAACTTTGCCAAAAAATGAAGAAAAATGTCAAATATAAAATGAACTCCATTTTTTGACTGAACATCACTTAAGTCGTAAAAAGCTTGATTTAAGAAAATGTTTTATTGTCTTTTTAGATTTTTAATATCCCAAAATATGTTACTTTTTAGTGCACACAAATAATTTACGCTCATTTTAAAATATGCAAATTTTTTTTCAATGATAAATATTATTCAAAATATTTTACGTAAAATAAGATATTTTTTGCTGGGGTTACATCTATAAAATTTAATAAATGTTTAAGTAATTAACCAAAGAATTAAATTTTAAGTGCAAAAAAGGTCAACTTCATTGACCTTAGATCGGTAAGATGAACACTGACCCCCTATTTTCTCTGCGATTTTGAGTCATTCTATATGGATAAAATATACTTCTTAATAAATCCTTGATTTAACAAATTTCACGAGTGACATACCTTAACACAAACTGAAGACACTCTTGAAGGATTTTTGAAATCACATACTAATTAATAAATTGATAAATAATTATCTATAATAATTAAAATTTCGTTAAAAACCATTTTGGCTTTGAGGTTAGGGATTCGCATTTCAATTTTAGTTTTTCCTTGACTTGCTGATTAAATTGTTGGAAACTACATTCGATAAGGATGTTAAAAATATTAAGTTGTGACAAGTAATGTTTGTCCAGTATTGAAAATAAGGTTGGTTACTTTCTACACATTTCATTTATAGTTGCCCGAGAGGCACAGTGATTACAGATTTTTCTCTTGAGTCGCAGAGTAAGGTGTTTTTCTTTCGCTGCGGGTATTGAATGCCACTTTGGGACTGATCGTTGAAACCGAGGTCTTGTGTTGCAGAAGGTACTGGCACGGATAAGATTCCCAACCTGCTCAATGACCCTTAGTAAGGAGCATTGGTTTAAGATTTCAGACCACCGTAAAGTGTTGGCCCCTCAATATGTGTAAAAACAAAGTTCTCGAAAGGAACGTTACACAAACAAAACAGAGCAAATACTGTACATTTACTGTGTTGATTTAATGATTAACGAGAAGAATTATCCAACGAAGGAAATTTCAACTCAAGCGCTACTTTTGACTTTGGAAATAATTTTTTAAGCAATGAAAAATCATTTTACCATGCAAATGGTTGATCAAATCCAGCATGCAACGTTTGCCATCATGGTTGTGTTGTAAAATATTATTCAGTTCCCGCCAAACTAAAATAAAACAATTATTTGAATGAGGGAGATGAACAACATCGTCAAGATATTTAATGGTGTATAAAATTTATTGAAACACTGAACCAAACTTCCCAGTGTGTACCTGTAATTTTTAGGTCATAAAAAATAAATTAATGCATACAAGAAGTTATGTAAAATGACTTGAAACTTTATTTTTCTTTTTGTGTAACACAGTGACTAAGTTGCATCCAAGAGGCCCATGGGCCACATCGCTCACCTGAGCACATGGGTTAAAAAAACAAAAATTAGCTAAGTATTGCAAAGTTTACTTGTTGGGAAAGGAGGTTGCATCTTTTATTACATGAGAATGTCACTACAAGCATATCGATAATGAATACATACATGTATATAATTTCCCAATACATATTTTATGTAAAGATTTGATTGCCTAACATGGCCCCACCTTAACCCCAGGGAACATGATATGAACAAACATGAATTCACTCTGAGAATGTTTCTATATAAATATCATCATTCATAGCTTTGCTGATCTCGCAATAAAAAGATTTTTAAAAGACTAGGTATTCATATGTAAAACTTTGATCAGCCATTGTGGCCCTGGCCTATCCTCGGGGTCATGATTTAAAAAAACTTGAATCCCCACAACTTGAATATGCTTCCACACGAGTTTCATCTTTCCTGGTCCAGCGATTCTGGAAAAGAAGATTAAAAAATGTCCTTTATATTCCTACGTAAGAGTTTGGTCAGCCAGTGTGGCCCACCCTACCCCCAGGGGTCAAGATATCAACAAATTGAATCTACAATAACCTGTGAATGCTTCCACATGAGTTTCATTTTTCCTGGCCCAGTGGTTGTGGAAAAGAAGATTTAAAAAAATGTCCTATTTATTCCTACGTAAAAAACTTGATCAGCCATTGTGCCCCGCCATACCCCCGGGGGTCATAATATGAACAAAATTCAATCTACACTACCTGAGAATGGTTCCACATTACTTTCATCTTTCCCGGCCCAGTGGTTCTGAAGAAGATTTTTAAAGAGTTTCCCTGTATATACTTATGTAAAACTTTGATAAGCCATTGTTGCCCCGCCCAACCCCTGGGGTCAAGATTTGAATAAAATAAAATCTTTACTACCTGAGGATGCTTCCTCAAGAGTTTCATCTTTCCTGGCTCAATTTTCTAGAGAAGAAGATTTTTTCATTAACTCATAATTATTTCCTCTTGTAAAAGGGCGTGGCCCTTCATTTGAACAAACTTGAATCCCCTTCACCCAAGGATACCTTGTGGCAAGTTTTGGTTGAAATTGGCCCCGTGGTTCTTGAGAATAAGATGAAAATGTGAAAAGTTAACGACAACAACGACAAACCGACGACAGACGACGGACAAATTTTGATCAAAAAGCTCACTTCAGCTTTCTGCTCAGATGAGCTTATGATTGGGTAAAAATGAAAAGAGCATTTTCAAAAAAGTTAACAAACATACAGGCAGGTATACTGAATATTTTCTTATATGAAAGTTTTTATTGCTTAAGCTCGTACAAGCTGAGACGCACGAACTCTAATCAACGAATTGCAATAATAATTAACATATTATTAATTCCATATTATTATTTTAGAATCATTAAAAATAACTTTAAAATTTAATAGTAAAATTTATATTCACCGCTTATATGAGAATGGCAGATCTGAGCAGTTGGTCTAACAGCAGTCTGGTAGTCCAGGAGGTGGGCTAACGCACCTTAATTAACCTCATATTATCAGTAGGGAAAGCGTTAAAATCAATATAATGCAAATAAGACATCGACTGTCTTGAAGTACTTTTTAATGCTAACCTACATATTAAGGCTGATTGATAAATGTTATGAATATAAACTTTTAAAAATTGTATAATGAGCGTGATCAAAAATTTGAAAGATTGCATATAATTTTAAAAAAATGAGGTCTTGATATTGGGACTATGTTTACAAGTTCAAAATCCTGTTAAAGGGATGCAATACCTCTATATTGAGAACTATGTTGATATTTTGCACAGTTCAAAGTAGTATGATCTGAAATCAAAGTGATAAAAAAATAACAAGTACAGGTAATATAATCAATATTAATTAAAACTAATAGTTAGTATATGTATCTGTCTGTGTCTGTATTTTCTCAGTCTATAATGAACTAGTATTTTGGCATTGAGTGTCCGATAACTCAGTATGATTTTGCTCTATTACAATACCCTTCTCAGAAAAAAATTGAGGGCTTCATTATTGACAAACACTTGCATACCTGTAAGGCCAGCATAATGTAGATCAAATGCTTTAGTACAAGAGCACTTATCGTCTGTACCATTTGGAAAAAGAGCTGTAAGAAGAAAATTAAGAAATTCCGGTATGTAACTTAAAACGAAATATTTAGAGGGAAACTATATTATTAATTTCGGACAAGAGAATTTATTAAATTATCATTTTTAGTTTTATTAGTTGTTCTTTGACATTTTTAGAACTTTATATGAACATTTCTGTGAAGCAAAATAACTTGTCAGGAAGATATTCTGCAAATAAAATTTTCTTTGCCGACAAAGAGCTTCAAAAGAAGTGGTTATAAATAAACTTCGAAGTACATGTACTCCTTTATCGATGAATACTTATAAAACTACTTAATATTATGGTATAATTGTTCTAGAGATGATCTGTAAAGAGTGTTTCATAGATATTTCTTTTTTGAAACAGATTGATAAATGAACACTATGCATGTTGTTCCCAAGAAGATGCCATATAAGAAGTCAGTCACGTGGCGCAGGGGTAAGAGCGTCCGCTCTTGAGTCGCAGAGTAGAAGTTGATCCTTACGTGGCTGGTTCTAATCCCAATTTGGGACATGGAGACCGGTCCTTCGGATGAAACCTTATAAACCGAGGCCCCGTGTCGCAGTAGGTGCTGGCACGAAAAAGATCCATCATGACTCAATAGCCATGAGTGCCGAACATACCTGTAGGTAAAAATGTGAAGCCCTCACCGGCAAGTGTTGGCGTCTTCATATAAGTGAAAAATGCTTCAGAGGGACGTTAAACAACAAACAAAAACAAAGAATATAAGAAAAACATATAGTTGTAGTTAAATTAACGTCTGTGAATGGGAGGAAAAATGACAAGGTTCGGTAGTATTTCTTTATATCGTTATCTTTAAACAAGAGGCCCACGGGCCTTATAGGTCACCTGAGCATCATGCAACAACTTTCAGATGATTGAATTTGCTTCATGTTTTAAGCTAGATGCTTAGGCATTCACAATTTTGGAAGAGGCACTCTTGCTCAACATAACTATGTACTTAGTTAGTTTATTTAAAACCTATGAGCAGAGAAGAAGATTTTCAAAGATTTAATGCATTTTCACTATATAATCAATAGAGCCCCGCCCTAACACCAGAACCTCTGACCCTGGGGCCATAAAATTCACAATTTTGGTAGAGGCACTCTTGCTCATTATAACTATGTACTTAGTTAGTTTATTTAAAACCTAGGAGCAGAGAAGATTTTCAAAGATTTAATGCATTTTCACTATAATCAATAGAGCCCCGCCCTAACACCAGAACCCCAGACCCTGGGGCCATGAATTTCAGAATTTTGGTAGAGGCACTCTTGCTCATCATAATTATTTACTGAATTAGTGTATTTAATACGTAGGAGCAGAGAAGAAGATTTTCAAAGATTTAATGCATTTTCAATAAATAATCAATATAGAGCCCCACCCTAACACCAGAACCCCTGACCCTGGGCCATAAAATTCACAATTTATGAAGATACACTCTTGCTCATCATAACTATGTGCTTAATTAGTTTATTTAATACTCAGGAACAGAGAAGAAGATTTTCAAAGAAATAATGCATTTTCACTATATAATCAATAGAGCCCCGCCCTAACACCAGAACCCCTGACCCTGGGGCCATAAAATTCATAAATTTGGTAGAGCCACTCTTGCTCATCATAACTATGAACTTAATTTGTTTATTTAATACCCAGGAGCAGAGAAGAAGATTTTTAAAGACTTACTGCATTTTCACTATATAATCAATAGAGCCCCGCCCTAACACCAGAACCCCTGACCCTGGGGCCATGAATTTCACAATTTTGGTAGAGGACTCAATGCTGATTACAATCATACCAACAGTTTGACTGCTTGATGTCCGGGAGAAAAGAAGAAGATTTTTAAAGATTGCACTATTTTTAGTGGTTTTTGCCCCCTCCCCCAGGCCCCAGGGGAGCGGGGACCACCAAATTCACAATTTTTGTTACCCTTCACCCATAGATGCTATATGCCAAATTTGGTTGAAATTGGTTCAGTGGTTTCAGAGAAGAAGCTAAAAATGTTTAAATGTTAACGCACGACGCACGACGCACAACGCACGACGGACGACGGACGACGACGGACAAAAACGGATAGCAATAGGTCACCTGAGTTTACTCAGGTGACCTAAAAAGTTTAACATTCATTTTCTCTTAAAATGTACCGTAAGGAATTATTGTCCGAAATGAAATGAAAAATTAAACATATGAAACTACTAATTAACTAAAAAACACAATAATATGTTTTTTTAAATTTTTTTTTCTTTTTGCACAAATACTAATAAATGTTATTTTATCCATATCTTATTATCACTTAGAAATGCTACTAAGTACAACTTAGTTGCAATTAATCAATAACCTTTAATTTGTTGCAACCACTATTGAAATAATTATTTCAATAGTGGTTGAGAGTGTATTTCAATAACAAACATAGATTGCAACCACTACTGAAATACGACCACTATTGAAAATAATTATTTCAATTTCAATAGTGGTTGAATACCAAACATAGGCTGCAATCACTATTGAAATAACGTTTACTTTTGAAATATAGATTTCAGTAATGTTATTCAATAGTGGTTACAACATATGTTTGCTATTGAAATGCACTCTCAACCACTAGTGAAATAATCATTTCATTATTTGTCGTTATTTCAAAAGTCGTTGCAACAAAGTTTATAAAAAAAAATATTTATTTAAAAATTTGACGGCAAATCATTTCTACCTGCCATCTGTTGTATAACCGTCTGCCTGTTCATGTGATTTGGATATCCATATTCAAAAGTAAGGAATGACCAAACTAAAGAAACAAAAAGAATACATTTTCTTGTTAATTCCTTTATCTGACAAGCTGAATAAAAGTATTTTCATTGGAAATATCAATGTTAATAAACATGTTAACATCAATCATCGACTTTCATATTTGTATCTTTGTGTTTTGTTGGTGTATATTTAGAGATTGCTTTGTAATCAACCCATTCTTTGATCATTATTTCTACTTTTATTCGATGTTTCAAAAAGTCTTGAGTTGAATTCTCGATTTAATTCTTGAGCAAAAATTTCCAAACAGAAAAATACATGGAAAAGTGGCAAGAATACCTATTTTTTCTTTCTAGGTTATTAATCCCTTTTTGTCAAGATTCCGACAAGAAAAAAACCTATCTGATCTCAAGTTAACTTAATTATTATCCAAAAACTGAAATTAAAACTGATAAAAATAATTCACCGATGGATTCGACTGTGCAGCATTTTGGGTGGTATGATTTTAAAGGATTAAGGAAGTATTATATAATATCGGTGATTAAAAAAAAAATCAATATTAGCGTTACCTGTATCATCATCATTGCATTATAAAATTCCTTCATCAAACATAATGTAAATGATGTATGGCCAAAAACAAACAAAACATACCCGTGTGTTCACTTAGACACTCTCCATTCTTATAAGCTTTGTATTCTAAAAAAAAAAGAAAATAAATAAAACTTAAATTCATACATACTACTTTAAATATTTTTCATATATGCATTTTTCTAACTCTTTAAAATGCTCCTGGGGAATTTATTTCATAGTAAGTGTATACATGTACCGTTTTTATACATGAATGAGTTTTTTTTTTGTGCTTGATATTTTTGTTACGCTTTAGTATCAGAGATGATACACGTAAATTCAATATATGTGTTATCGACCTCAGCCGGTAACTTCATATTTGTTGGAGGAGTAGCATATTAAGGTTGTTATATCACAAAAGAAAATTTTTCAATAATGAAAAAAAAACCTATAATAATGTTACTTACTTTCACCCAGTGAGAGTTCGTGGTTGGGAAAATGTGTGACTTAAAGATAGAATATCAATAGAATAAGAAAACATACAGGAAATTATATTACTAGTATGTACTGTGATATTCTGTGAAAGGATAAAAGCATATAAGATTTAGAATATCAAACTTATTAAAATATTTTGAAATAACTAAACTGTAATCATTAGCAAAATAAATCTAAAAGGAATAAACAAAAATCCTGAAGGATAATTGTTGTGGGGGATGTAACGACGATTTGGCGATATGTCAGTCATATTGAAACGGAGCACAGAAATGAAGAATACAAAAATACTTCTTTAATTTAATCGTTGTTTATAATTGATTCATTCTGTACCTGATAAAAAATTTCTATAATTAAATTAAGATCGAATCTTAAATATTTCTATAAATGAGGCAAACTTTAAGGTAGTCCGACCCTGAAGTGTTGAAAATAAGGAATTGTTGAATAATTGAAAATGCTTAGAAGAATGTCTCTGAATCTCAAAGCAATGAATATTTATGCACAGTAATTCTTCAAACTTTATGTCTAAGATTAAAGCTGAACACGATTCGTAAAGAGGAATGTGTCCGCCATTTTTGTTCGGAGAATCGCTATACCGGCAAACCCCAATATAAAGGGCAGGACTTTGTCTCTGTTCAGCGTAATCAGTCGACACCGGTGTAGACGGACGTATGCTCTACCGCACTCGGTAGCGACAATAATATCGTAATACTGTGTCTAATGCATGAAAGTAAGATACCAAAGAAACTTCCAATTATAGTTGTACAGGTCAGTGTAGTATGCAAACAAACACAGACACACATAACTGCAAAAAGTGTAAACAAAGGTAATGTAAGATAACCAGCACACGAACACGGGTCGCCATTCCGAGCCGATACCCGTGACAATAAAGCAGTCAGATGTGACGAATATGAAGAGTATACCTTGGTATTGATGTTTCTTAGATAATGATATCAAAAATGGCGTATTTACAAGTCGTGTTCAACTTAAATCATATTACAAGTATACGTATATAGGGTAAATTAGTAAAGCTCAAATATGTTATCAGGAAATGCAAATAAAACCCCTACTATGCATTTTTTACTAAAAATTGATCAACACTTATATTTTAGGTGAAAATATAGATATCCAGGTATTTGAAGAAAATTGCATGATTCTAAACTTGTAGTTTTAGTTTCTAATATTTGCTTCAAACATTTTATGATGCATTATGTACTTAGTATAAAGCATTTCCTATAATTGAAAAAAACAACAACAAACAATCCATAAACATCTTTAATTTTCATATCAGGCGTATAAATATTTGTATCTCAGTAGAATGAAGAAATTCAATGTCTTTAACAATTCAATTTTTAAAATATTTAAAAGGAAATAATCCTTGTAAATAAAAACTTGAATTAATTTTTTTCTATTTTGGGATAAATATAAGCCAACAAACTTATAAGTCAGCAAACAAGAAATCCAGTTAAAATTATAACCGGGTTTGCAAGAATTTATGACTTTTACTTTCTCAAAAGGATATACATTTAATATTTACCCTGGATGGAGCTTTGGCACGCATGATAGCAGTTTGGCTCGTGGTTATGATAATAAGCAGCTGAAATACATGTAAATCTTAGTAAAATTGTATTATACATTTTAAATCAAAGACTTTGTTTTGCCGTTGTTAATTATAATGTATTTGAATGTCACATTGTTGAGACGTTGATAAAAAGTTATATGCAATTCCTCTGTGTATAGATTTAGAAAGTTAGACATATCCCACAAAAATTTACTGCAATCAAAATTGAGACTATTTGTAATGAATAGTTATATTGCCCTCTTTGGCTACGTTAATTATTGTGTGTTATCATTACCTTTCATATGAGAGATAAAATCATCTAGGCATCGGGAGTTCATATTGCTCAGGCGGAGAAGATCACCCCAGACTGAAAAAGAATTATTATGGAGTAAGAATTTAAAAAAATACTTTTAACCTTGTAGAGAAAGCTTATAGCCAATATTTTGCCAATAAAAATAATATTCAAATCCAACAAGAGGCCCACGGGCCTTATAGGTCACCTGAGCATTGTGCAACAACTTTCCAGTTACAGTGTATTGAATTTGATTCATGTTTTAAGCCAGATGCTATATGACATTCACAATTTTGAAAGAAGCACCATTGATCATCATAACAATACACTTAGCAGTTGCTTAGCTTGGTTACTGAATACCCATACGCAGGGTAGGGGAACAAAAATGCACTCCAACTAATCAATAATATTCAGCAATAATCAGTAGTGCCCCTAACACTGTGACATAAACCCCTGACCCTAGGTCCACACACTGCACAAATTTTTAAAAGGCATCCTTAAAATTGCCTATAAAAAATAAATAAATGTTTTCGAAATACAAAGACGCAGATTTAAAAATATTAATTCATTTTCAGTATATATTATAAGTAAAGCCTCCCCCCCCCGACCTTTGGGCCTTGAAATTAACAATTCTGCAAGATTAGGGCCCTTGCTCATCATAACTATATAGGTAGTTCATCTGCTTCATACCCAGAGACAGAGAAGAAAATTTTCAAAGATTTAATGTATTTTCACTATATAATCAATAGAGCCCCACCCTAACACCAGAAACCCTTACCCTGGGGCCCTAAAATTCACAATTTTAGAAGAGGCATTCTTGCTCATCATAACTATGTACTTAGTTAGTTTATTTAATTCCTAGGAGTAGAGCAGAAGATTTTCAAAGAATTCATGTATTTTCACCATATAATCAATAGCCCCCCCCCCCCCCCCAACACCAGAACCCTTGACCCTAGGGCCATAAAATTAACAATTTTGGTTCAGGCACTCTTGCTCATCATAAATATGCACTTAGTTGGTTTATTTAATACCTAAGGAGCAGAGAAGAAGATTTTCAAAGATTTCATGTATTTCACTATATAACCAATAGAGCCCCCCCCCAAAAAAAACAGAACCCTTGACCCTGGGTTCATATTTACAATTTTTGTTGAGGCACTCTTGCTCATCATAACTATCCACTTAGTTAGTTTATTTAATAATACCTAGGAACAGAGAAGAAGATTTTCAAAGAATTCATGTATTTTCTCTATATTATCAATAGAGCCCCCCCCCCCCCCAACACCAGAACCCTTGATGATGGGCCCATAAAATTCACAATTTTAATTGAGGCACTCTTGCTCATCATAACTATGCATTTAGCTAGTTTATTTAATACCTAGGAGCAGAGAAGAAGATTTCGAAGAATTCATGTATTTTCACTATATATAATCAATAGAGCCCCACCCTAACACCAGAACCCCTGACCCTGGGGCCATAAAATTCACAATTTTGGTAGAGGCACTCTTGCTCATCATAACTATGTACTTAGTTGGTTTATTTAATACCCAGGAGCAGAGAAGAAGATTTTCAAAGAAATAATGCATTTCACTATATACTTATTTAGCCCCGCCCTAGCACTACAACCCCTGAGCCCAGGGCCATGAATTTCAGAATTTTGGTAGAGGACTCAATGCTGATTACATTTATGCAAATAGTTTGACTGCATGATGTCCAGGAGTAAAGAAGAAGATTTTTAAAGATTGCATTAATTTTAGTGGTTTTGGCCCCACCCCTCAGGCCCCAGGGGGGCAGGGATCATGAAATTCACAATTTTTGTTCCCCTTCACCCATAGATGCTTTGTACCAAATTTGGTTGAAATTGGCTCAGTGGTTGCAGAGAAGAAGCTGATATTTTTCAAATGTTAACACACGACGCACGACGAACGACGCACGACGACGGACGAAAACAGATAGCAATAATAAAACAAAAATAATAATAATAATAAAATAAAATAATAATAAAACACGAAAAAAGAGTAATATACAACACATAAGCAGACAAAGAGTATGATTAAATGACTTGAGCCTCTTACAGTTATTTTTTTCAAGTGCTGTTTAATTCATATCAATAAAAGGCATGTTTCCAATAATGTTTCGATGCCTCAAGAAACTGTGAACTCACCTTTATTACGAGTCTGGCACTGTATGGTTGAACCAGTGTAATGGGAAGGTAGATTAGTGAAGTACGTGTTCATTATTTCTAAATGAAATAAAACAAATTGATTATTTTTTCTAGTTATTAAAAGAATTTTCAAAAACATTTGAGGTGACAATAAATTATTCTTAAATACCTTGGAAGTTATGGTCTTGTCTACAACTATTGTCATAGGTTTCTGTCAAAAAGAAATGTTATTCATTAATATTTAAGAACGATCATTAAGACTGGGAGGAAAAATCCTTACAAAGAAAACTTCCCAATGTTTCACAAAGGAAAAAAAACCTCCCTGAATGGAATTTAGACTATTTTCGTGTATGAAGCTCAAATAATTATTTTATTAAACTTCTATATAGATAAATTTATCATTCAAGTTTGAAAACTTCAAATATTTGATAATTAAAATCTTTTTCTGCTATAAAATCTTCTCAAGTCGAATGCTTGAATTATACCAAAGGAAAGGACTTAACTCAAACTATAATATCATGTTTTCAAATATAAGCTATTATAAAAGAAGTACATTTCTTGCCAATATGAAAAGAAGATATATTCAGGCGACTAGGCGAAGTTGACTCTACAAATAGATTACGTCTTTTTGGAGTATATAAGCATAGTCCAGTTTTTGCAAAGAAAAAAAACAAATCTAATCGTTCGAAACGTAAAATAGATGTACAATCACACGTTGTATTAAAGATTTTGAAAAAAATCTTATCTAAATTTATTCAAATTTATGGAGGAATATTACAGTAAAGATATCGGTCTTCTAATATTTTAGAAAGAATATTAGGGTCAACATTTCGCTAAGAGAAGCTCCGATATGCATAATCGAAGATGAAAAAGTAGATACACATTGTCCTTTTTCTTTTTTTTAAAAAGTGAAATCCAAATTTCAGATCAATTTAAGAATCTTTTGGTCAAGTTTAATATCCACGAAATCAGTAATTCACTAAAAAAATTATCCATGTCCTCAATGAAACTTATAACTTCAAATATGTGACTTCAATACTTCAACTACGGGTAATTTTAACCACGATTATTCGGCCCACGAAAATATGGGAGTTTACTATAAATGAATTCATTGGTGGAAAAATCCCCCCCCCCCCCCCAGCGTGTACACACTTTCAAGCAATACAAATCAATTCAATGATTGTCCTGAAATAAGAATTTTTAAAATTGTTGGTCTCGTTTCAACTTACGAGTTGTACGGTAATGGTAAAGTATATGTCTATCTGAACACGTACAGCTGTGCAGATTTAGACCTGAAAAGAAAAGACACGATGACGTGACGGGATGTAAAATTTTCTGAATTAAATATGGTTTGACTATTGGAGGAAGTTTCAAAAAATGTACAAATTTGAACCCTTATAACTTAAATAAAGTATTCTATCGTTTATAAAAGTGACATCATAACCATGTGAAAGCTAGAAAGATATGAATTTACGTCTATCGGTCGTATATAGAAGTGAACTTTTGAGTTCTAAAATGAACTATAGTTATCAGTACTTACTTGACATTTTCTTCACTAATGTTGTTGCACAAATATGATCAGTTCGTCGCAGGTGATCCAATTGAATAAATACTAAAGGAAAGTTACGATTAGAAAAAAAGGTTTTATACCGGTCAAAAATTTTTCTCATTTTTAAGTGACATTTTTCCAGTTTATTTTCAGTGCATTCACAATGAATAAATAAATTATCATTCTACAATTGTCTAAATTTTCGGCAAATCTGTTTGAGATTCTTAAAGGAAACTTCATTTACAATAAAGCTATTTAATTGCATATCAAAAAGACATTTTTTGAAAAAAAGGAATTAATCTTGTGACCGTTTTTCTTGCATTTCACTTTTTATTTACGACGAAAAGTAGTATCTTTTCATGAGAAATTCGCTTTGGGAGGGGGGGGGGGAATTAAACCTTATAAAGAAAATTTTAAAGCAATTTATCTACTACCCGAATAAGGTGAAAGACAGTTCTCTTTTTCTGCATTGTTGAAAACATCTGAAAATATGAGAAACAAATTTCAAGCAACAAAATGCAACGAAGAAAACTGTGACAGACAGCAATTTTTCCCCAAACATTGTCAAACATGGGATACAATCCATAAATTATGATGAGTGAGATATCATGATCATAATCTATAGGATACATTCCCTGTTTAACAATTTAATGTATGCCAAAAATTACTCATTGTCAATTTCCTCGGGATATATCCAATTTGAGCATTTTTTGGAAGAAAAATTCAATGGGAGAAAAATCTCATCTGTCACTTTTTCTTCCATGTGAGAAAGGTGGAATAGTTTTTAAGACTCATCATTCTCTCATGGGATTCAGACTTTAAGAACTTCAAATCTATTGAAAATAGACATGTTTCTGAGTTCAACATGAGAACCTGTGATACTGTTAAGAAATCCCATCAAGTATTCTGACCTCCTTTGGACATCTTAGAAATGATGGTTAAAAGTGTAAACATTGTCGTGTCCGGAGTTACATGCCGCACTGTTTGAAGCATTTTTTAAAAGCTGATTTTGAAAAGCTTTAAATATGAAATAATTCATGAATTCATAGTTTCAATTTTTTAAATAAGGCACCTGGACTTTATAACTGGAATACTGCTTGTTATTTCATTATTGCACCGATATATCTTTTTCCTTGTATCATATTGATGGAATGATGCGTGGTTCCATCCTCAGGTGGATTGGCTGTTTTGGCGCTGTTCACAACAGCCTCCAGGGGTGCGCCGACAGGGGTGATCAGATCCCAGTCTGGAGCCACTTAGCTCTACATCGTTGTTTTTTACGGTTTATTCACATCACTAATGACATCGCTATTCAAAGTGTATCTCCCATCTTTCAAAGCCTTTGAGCAAGCTAATTATACGTGCTCCAAGTTTGTTGGTTTACCACAGAGAACATACTTTGGATCATCTGTAAGTCCCCATATTACCAGATAAGTTGGGCAGGGAAGAATATCATAAACTGATTTCAGCTTAAAGTGAAGTCTGGATTTTTTTTTATCTTCCAAATATCATTCATTCTCAACTTCACTTTCATGTAATGTGCGTTTTCCCCTTTCACCCTACTACCTTGTCTCTTCATTTCATCTGCATTCACAATTCTTGATTCTTCCTCCATTGCACGCACATCTCTCTTTACAAAACTGCGCTTCTCTTCGACTGAAGCTGTCTTCAATCTTGCTTTTGGTGTGACATCCATCCCTTGCCTTCCTTTTGCCAGTCTTCCCACAATGATACTGTGTCTCAAGCGGGATTCTGCTTCTTCTATAGTTTTCTTTACTGACCACTTTCTACCCGTCCTGATATCTACTTTTTCTGTTCGGACCTTGTCGTCTTTGCTATTCTGTAACATTAAGTGTTGACGCACCTTTGCACCTTGAATTCCTCAGTAATTGACTTAAGAGGTAACTGTACCCTAGCCCCAGAGCTATTTAAACCAATGCTACTGAAACTTCGCGGTACCACCGATTATTTCAGGTATCTGCTTGCCGTTATTTCCATCCCTTCTACTGTGAGGCAGTATACCATTTTGGTAAATCCATGCATTATATTTACCGGGCAGTCTATTTTCATCCATTCATCAAGCTGTCAACATATTTCTTTTATATTTTGCCTGTCTGTGAAAGTGTAATTGAAGAATTTCCCTAAACACTTCATTGGCTTTTCTTAGACTGTTGGTATTGCCTCTCCATCAATCTGGAATCTTTATTCTTTTACTTTTCCATTCTTTATAGATAAACTACGAGATTTGCTTGGTCTTACTTTCATTCTTGCCCAAGTGATAGCTGATTCTAGTTCTTGTATTGTCCACTTGGCTTCAATAACTGTCTTCGTTGTACCTCATCGCTGCTGAGAACAGGATTTTGGGAATAGTACATCCTGTGACTATACCAACTTCAAGGTGTTGCCATGCTGTTGTGTAATCCTGTACTGGAAATCTCACCTTAAAATGGTCAAAATAATGGTCTTTAAAACTGATCTTGTCTTCTCAGGTACATGTTATCTTTCGAGTGTCAGCTCAACAAGTTTATGTGGAACTGTTCCATATGCATTTCCTTGTTCTAGCCAGATGACTGCCAACTCCTTTGGCGTCTTTGTTACCCGGATTATCTGTGCCAGTACAATTGTATGCTCAATATTTCCTAATACTTTAAACGTATTACATTTGGCTGTGTATTCTGTTTTGCGCTTTTTGCGGAAATACAAGAAAGAATGGACAGTATATGATAACTTAATTATCATATTAACTCAATAACTCAATATGCTTCATGAACTATCATGTGTACATGTAAATGAAATTTCTTTTACTGGTGATTTTTGTTTTCTTTGTTGGGGAGTTGGGCGAGGGTAAATTAGATAATTATCAACAGGAGAGACGTTAAAGATTTAGGTAATATCGCCAATTAAAATATCACCATTATGTATGTACGTCCTTTAAATGGTCATCTATAAACTTAGACCCTTTTATTATTGACAATCAATAGCGATTCGGCTTACAATTGCAATTGGTGTGTTGTGTGGGATAAGGGGGGGGGGGGTCAAAGCAAGAGATTCATGCCCATAGGAAGCAATTGCAATTTCAGTAAGTGGGCACAGCTATATATTTTTAGTTGGTGGTACTATCACTTAGCAAAAATTCCTTGACAAGCATAAAAAAGGAGGTGGTATCAAGCGTTTAATTGAGGGGACATGAGCATATAGTAGTAATATTTTCTATAGTATTACTGCCTGTTTTCTATATTATAATGTATGCTTTCTATAGTATTCTATATAGTATATGTATATATATACCGGCAGAAAAGGGGTATTTTACTATATATTTCATTGAAAAAAGTGTCACATGTTCTCATCAACATTAGCGCATTTGAATTACGATTACAATTTAACCACGCAGACGAATATCAAAAAAGAAGAAAAAATCAGAAAGAAAAATTTAAAGCGAGAGGAGTTAGCTGGTAAATCTTTAGACTATGTTTTCAGACAGACAGTAAACCTGTGATCTACCCTAAAAACTTTGGACAAAATTTAACCGAACCGGAAGTGATCTGGATCTTCGTCTGAGGCCAAGGTTTTTAGATTCAATGAAACAAACAACTTCAATGGTAAGAAAATGATGAAAATTCGTGCTCATAGCGATCCAATATCATCTCAATTAGTCTGAATCACCCTTAAAGCGGTACACGTACGTACTGAACGTCCAAGGATGTTGACCAAAAGATATCTTTGTGATGTACTGCCAAATCCCGTTACTGAATACCATTGAACACATTTGGAATTTTCATAAGGAATGTCAAAGCCCCCCCCCCCCCCCACACACACACAATTTCATCGGCTTAGAAGTAGTAGGTGTGGCTGAAGATGGGTCAAACTCCTATTCAGGGGTATATGGCATCCATGAGAAGAGGATGTCTTGCAGTAATTAGAACGAGTGGGGATCTTACTTCGTAGATTTTATGTGAATTTTCGTCTTGACGGTTCGTAATGTTCTTGACACTTTGCTGAGAATTCTTACGAGACATTGACATGAAATTTACGCAATATCGAACTGAAATATGTAACATTAACCATGAATTAAAGAAATTATTTATTGTATGCATTTGTTCTTTAAAACTTAATAAATGTGAGGTGAACACTTAAAAGTTTGGTTCAATGTAGATACACTGATACTAACCTCTGTAAGATGTTTGGTTATGGAGGCATAAATTATGTTGATCTACATGTGATGCAGTCGTATGGACAGAAGGTATAACCCCTGATCCACCAGAACTGTGGGAACTGTGTCCGCTGGAAACATGGACTGTTTCACCAAACAGTACCCGATCACATTCTATGTTTGGGCAGTAAAGTAAAAAATATTAGTATCCTTTTAATCTTTTTGAAAAAAGTGAGTTTTTCAGCAAGGAAATCTTGTACAGTAAATTTATTTAAATATTATAAAATTTAGTTATATGAGTTAATAATCATAAAAGATGTCGAAATAGATTTCAATTGTTAAAATGTAAAATAAAATATTATCTCCCTATTATTTTAAGTTCTCTGATTGACTGAATCTTGATCACATGATAAAGTATATAAAAGCATATAGACTTGTGTTACTTTTTATATATTCTGAAACACATAAAAACCTCGTGTTTCTGAAAAATTTAACTTGATGAATCTGAAAAAAATTCATCCTTTCATAAGGCGTAAAAAAATAAGTTTGTTTCCTGTAACATTCCCAAAAAACTAAGGGTCGGTAGGTCAGAGATTCCTTTTTTTTTTGCTTATGTATGGTCAAACATCTCCGGACTGAGTACACCAGGTGTCATATTTACAGTGGACACCCAACATGGCTTCCAAAATGGCTGCCTAGCGGCAGAAAACGAACTTCAGAAAGATGTATGGGTAATTGTTGTTTCAATAATGATTACTCTTTATATTTTTAGGTAAATGTTAACTAGGTTGACACATTTTATGTCTCAAGTTAAGCTACAAGCTAATTTTTAAAT